CCCCCAAAAGATAGAATACTTAGTAATAAATTAACCAGGTACGTAAAAGACCTATAGAAAAAAAATGACAAAATACTGTTGGAAGAAAGCAAAAGAGACTTACATAAATGGGAAAACATACCATGCTCATGGACTGGAAGATGTAACATTGTGAAAATGTCAGTACTACCCAGAGCAATGTATAGACAATGCAGTTCTGATCTAAATTCCAGCAGTACTCTTTAACAATATGGTCATGAACTTTATGTGGAAAGGAAAAAAGTCCAGATAAATAAAGCATTACTGAACTCAACCTCAGAATCTCCTATACAGCCACTGTAGTCAAAACAACTTGGTAATGGTACAAGGACAGACACATAGATCAATGGAACAGAATTGAGAATCCAGATGTAAATCCATCCATTTATGGATAGCTGATCTTCGACAAAGGGCCAAAGTCCATTAATTGGGGCAGAGACAATCTCTTTAACAAATGGTGCTGACAAAACTGGATATCCGTTTTTAGAAAAATAAAACAGGATCCATACTTCACACCATATACAAAAACTTACCCAAGATGGATCGAAGACCTAGATGTAAAACCTAAAAGTATAAAGATCATGGGAGAAAAATTAGGGACAATGGTAGAGGCCCTAAAATATAGCATAAATAGAATACCACACATAATTAAAAATGGACAAACAGCAGAAGTTGAACTAGAAAAAGGGGCCCTCCTAAAAGTAAATACTTAAGCTTATCAAGAGACCTCGTAAAGAGTAGAAAGAGAACCTGTAGAGTCTGGGGGTCAGGGGGATAGCTATGACATATTGACAAGGGTCTAATTTCTAAAATTTGTAGAAAATTTCAACACCTCAACAACAAAAAGACAAATAATCCAACTAAAAAATAAATCAATGATACGAACAGACACTTCACCAAAGAAGACATTCAGGCAGCTATCAAACACATGAAGGAATGCTCATGATCATTAACTTTAGACAGATGCAAATCAAAGCTACAATGAGATACCATCTCACCCAGACAATAATGGCGCTCATAAAATTAAACAAGCAAACAAACATACAGAAAATAATAGTGGCTAAAGCACTTGACTGCTAACTAGAAGGCTGACGGTTCAAACCCACCAGCCACTCCTCGGAAGGAAGGTTGGGCAATCCTACTTCCGTAGTGATACTGCCTCGGAAACCCAAGGAGGGGTCGCTATGAGTCGTGGCTGACTCAACGGCACATAACAACAACAACAATGAAGTTGTAGAGAGATTGGAACTCTAATACACTGCTGGTTGGAATGTAAAAATGGTACAACACTATGGAAAATATTATGTTACTTCCTTAAAAAGCTAGAAATAGAAATAACATATGATTCTGCAATCTCACTCCTAGGTATATACCCTAAAGAAATCAAGAGCTGTGATGTGAATAGACATGCATACCCATGTTCATTGCAGCATTATTTGCAATAGCAAAAAAGATGGAAACAATCTAAGTGTTCATCAGTGGATTCATGCATGAACAAATGGTGATAAATATACACAATGGAATACTGTACCACAATAAAGCATAATGATGAGTCTGCGAAGCATCCCACCACATGGATGAATTTGGAGGACATTGGGCTGAGTGAAACAAGTCAATCACAAAAGGATAAATATTGTATGAGACCACTATTTTGTATATGTATGCATATATATATATACATCTGTATATGCATTAATACATACACATAAGTATATACACAAAACCTCCAAGAAAAAAAGGTTCACACACACGGAAAAAAGAAACATTCTTTGATTCTTTGATGTGGGAGGAGTGGGAGAAGGAGGACGAGAAAATTACTAACTAGATAGAAGACATACGTTAATAATGGTGAAAGGAAAGGCAATACATGATATGGGGGAAAGCAGCACAGCATGGCCAAGGTAAAAGAAGGCACTGAGAAGAGTGCAAGAATGAAAGACTACTGTGGTCATTATTGAAGGAGCCCTGGTGGCGCAGTTGTTGAAGCATTTGGCTACTAACAAAAGGTTGGTAGTTCAGACCCACCAACCTGCTTCATGGGAGAAAGATGAGGTAATCTGCTTCCATAAAGATTTATAGCCTTGGAAACCCTATGGGGTAGTTCCACTCTGTCCTATAGGATCACTATGAGTTGGAATGGACTCCATGGTAATGTGTTTATTTATTTATTTATTTTTAATGTTAATATAAATAACAGGCAAACCTGCAGCAATAGTCTTAACAAACAATAATTTAAAAATTGTTATATAGTTGGGCAGTTCAGCTAAAGAGATATAGGAGGGTTTAAGGGAGCACACCTACCTGTGGATATAGGTTTGGCTGTAGATATTTCTACATCCATAATTGTAGGTGTGACACATATATTGAGGTAGGCAACATAGCACACAAGGGGCACAGTCATGGAAACTTCTTAGACATAAGCAAACACCTCGTGGGACTAAGTTCCTATGCTCAATGACACAGGACTATAGACTTGAGACATCTATGTCAATTACCATGACGGAGTTCATAAAGACAGTGTGTTCTTTATCTTATTTTGGTGAGTAGTGTCTGGGGTCTGAAAAGCTTGAGAGCAGCTAAGATACGACTATTGGTCTCTTCTGGTCCAGAGAAAAGGAGAGTGAAACCAAAGACTTAAGGGAGCAATTAGTCCAAAGGACTAATGGACCACATGAATCACACCCTACACAACCCTGAGACCAGAACTCGATGGTGTGTAGTAACCACTACCAACCACTCTGAATGAGATTACAACCGAGGGCCCTGGACAGAGTGGAAGAAAAATACAGGAGAAAATAATCAAATTCACAAAAAAAGACCATATTGACTGGTCTGACAGACTAGGGGAACCACTGTGATGATGACCCTAAAACACCCTTCTGACCTGGAACTGAAGCCATTTTTGGAGACCACCTTTCAGCCAAATGTCAAATAAGCCCATAAAGTAGACAACAACACCTGAGAGGAACATGCCCCTTAAAAGAGTCAATGACATGAGATCAAAATGACAGTATTTGCCCCAAAGTAAACATGAGAAGGCCGGAAAGGGTAGAAAATCTGGACGAAAGGAAATGGGGAGCATAGGGAGGAAGTGGGAAGAGTGCTGATGCACTGTGGGGAATGCAACCAGTGTTACGGAGCATTTTATTGACAGACTAGTGAATGGGAACTAATTTGCTCTGTAAACTTTCACCTAAAGTACAATAAAAATTTAAAAAGAAGAAAAAACAGTTAAGCGGTTACTACTCCTTGGCAGATTACAGTATGTGCACTACAAGTACATGCCTGGGGTAAAAACGGTGATGAACTCTTACCAAAAACATCACTCAGAGAAGCAATCTTTATTGAAGGCTTTGCCTGAAAGAGATGCAGCCTACCCATTTCTCCAAAAGGCACCCCAGAATTAAGTCAGACAGTACCTGGACTTCAAAATAGCTCTGTAAAGTCCTGCAAAGCAAAGATGTCAGTTGTAGGACTAAGATGCACCTGACCCAAGCCTGTTTTCAGTCGCCTCATATGTGTGTGAAAGCTGGGCAATAAAAACTGAAACCAGAAGAAAACTTGATGCACTTGAGTTTTGGTGTTGGTGAAGAATATTGAGTATACTGTGGACTGCCGGAAGAACAAGTCGGTCAAACTGAATGCTTCTTACAAGCCACCTTGCTTGCTTTAGATACAACAGGAAAGACCAGTTCATAAAACATGTCCCATTTATTTGTTGTAAGGATGCAGTATCTTAACCATATTATTATATTATACAATTTCCCTCTTAAAGTCTTCAAGAAATAAATATTTTTTTCTGATTTTTATGTCAGAAACAATTGTGCTTTTCCTAAGCAATTAGTTTGCTTATTTTTCATAGGCATTGTGAGTTGTATGATTGATTAAGTTTTCCTTTATTGCATAACAACAAATGCAACGCACTGCCGTGGAGTCAGATCCGACTCATAGCGATCCCTCCTTGGGTTTCCAAGGCAGTTTCACTGCGGAAATAGATTGCCCAGCCTTCCTTCCGAGGAGCGGCTGATGGGTTTGAACCACCAGCCTTCTAGTTAGCAGTCAAATGCCTTAGGCACTGTGCCATAGGACCATAGAAAGAATAGATAAAAATTGCCTATTGCAATTGTATGGAACTTCACAGAACATTTAGGTATTAAGTTTATTCCTGCTTTATTTTATTTCCTTAGCCTTGTTTCTTTTCCTCTCAATTTCAAATTATCTTTCTCATTTGCATTGTATGCTTTCTTTTAAGCTACCTTGTCATATTTTGAAATTAGATGAAGAATATGTAGATACACATATACATGCTAATAAAATTCCTAAAATAAGTTTAGATAATAAATATTAGAAATATAATCAAGGGATGCATCAAAAACTAACAACATCAGAATTTTAAAACAGATTGATTCAAGGTTCCATGTTTATATTTTGCATCGTGTGTTTAGCAAGATTTTATTAGATTCTTATTTCCTTTTAAGCTCAGTTCAGCAATTGCATTAAAGTCTAGTTTAACATGGTTGTGGTTAATATTTTAAATCTCTGCAATCTATCTCCTCAATTAAAGCACTTGTGATGTAGACATTGTAATCCAATGTACAAGGCTATAAGTAAAGTTATATTGAATTTTATAAATGCAGGACTGAAAACAAGGAACATGGATCTCTCACTTTTTTATGTTAATTAATGAACATTATAAACATGTATATTGATATTAGACTCCTTGGTCCTGAAATGTTAGGCCATACAGCATTGTGATCAGGGTGCAAACTCCGAAGCTAAACTGTTTGAGTTTAACTTGCTATCCGTGTGACCCAGAACAAATGATTGAACCTCTCTCTGCCTCAGCTGGTTTATATGTAACATAGAAGGATAATAGTACTTACTTGTTGGGTTTGTAATCTCTGGTATGTAGTAAGCTTGTAGTAACTATTGGTTATTAATATTTTTAACGTATGTTTTTGAGTGTGTTGTTTAATTTTTAGATCTCTTGCTGCTGAGTGGGCTAGATATGGAATGCGATTCAACATAATTCAGCCGGGGCCTATAAAAACCAAAGTAAGTTTTAGCTTGTTTATCATCACATTGTGAATGATTAAGGAATGTAACATTAATAAATATATTTTTGTGGTTTTGTGAGGAACTTTCTAGGAATATCTGGGTTTGGAGCCCTGGTGGGAGAAAAGAGAGTTATATCATTTTCTGATATAAGAAACAAGGAGGTGGATGGGAATACTGCAGCCATGCAACTTATTGTTGTTGTCAGGTGCCAGCATGGTGGTTCTGTCTCATAGCTGCCCCATGTACAACAGAATGAAACGCTGCCTCCTCCTGTGCCATCCTCACAATCATCGCTATGTTTGAGCCTAGAGTTGCAGCCAGTGTTTCAGTCCATCTTATTGAGGGTCTTCCTCTTTTTCAATGACCCTCTACTTTATCAAGCATAATGATAACATGTCCAATGTATGTGAGATGAAATCTCACCATCCTTGCTTCTAGGGAACATTCTAGCTATAACTCTTCCAAGACACATTTGTTCATTCTTGTGCAGTTGATGGTGTAGTCAGTGTTCTTCACTAACACCGTAATCCAGAGGCATCAGCTGTTGATCAGTCCTCCTTATTCATTGTCCAGTTTTCACATTTATATGAGATGATGGAAAATGCCATAACTTGGGTCAGGGGCACCTTAGTCCTCAAACTGACATCTTTGCTTTTTAATACTTTAAAGAAGTCTGTGGTAGTTAATGTTATGTGTCAACTTGTTATGAGTAATGGTTTGGCAGACATTGGACTGGGTTTTATTCCATAACGTAATATAATGTAATCACTACCATAAAGAGTTCCAGTGTAATCTAATCACCTCCATGATGAGATCAATAGGAGCAGCCAATCAGTTGAAAGGAGAATTTCCTTGGGGCTGTGACCTGCCTTCAGTATATGAATGAATGTTCCAGCAAGACTCTCTCTCTGGGTCCTACATTGTATTCTTCATCATTTGATCTTCGGTTCTTGGGATGTGTAGCCTGTCACCTGACCTGAAGGTTAGGGTATTTGCCAGTTCCCATAGCCCCATGAGCCAGCACATGATCCATTGGTTTTGAGTTTATCAGCCCCAGCAACCATGTGGTCAGGTGAAGCCTCTAGCCAGATTTGGGACTTGCCAGCCTCCACAACTATGTGAGTCATTTCCTTGAATTAAATCTCTCTCTGTGTATTTGTATATATACATGCTTTACTGATTTTGCTCCTCTGGAGAACCCAGCGTAAGTCAGGATCTTTTGCAGCAGATTTGCCCAGTGCAGTCCAGTCCATTTCAGCTCACTGATGCCTAGGTTATTGATCTTTATGCGTTCCATCTCAGTTTTGATGACTTCCAATTTTCCTTGATTCGTACTTTGTACATTCCACATTCTGATTACTATGGATGTTTGCAGCTGTTTCTTCTATTTTAAGTCATGCCACATCAGCAGATGAAGGTCCTGAAAGCTTTACTCCATTAACGTCACCAAGTGACTCTCCTTTGAGGAGGCAGCTTTTCTCTACACGTATTTTGAGTGCCTTCCAAACTGAAGGGCTTGTCTTCTGGCCTGTATAAGGCAGTTCTGCTGCTATTCAAAAGGTTTTCACTGGCTAATTTTTTTTTCAGAAGTAGATCACTAAGTTCTTCTCAGTCTGGAAGCTCCCTAAAATCCCTGAAATCTGTCTACCGTCCTTGACCCCGTTGTTATTTGAAATGCTGGTGGCATAGCTTGCAGCCTCACGGAAACAAACAAGCCACAACAGTATGAGAAACTGACAGAGAAGTGGAGGTGCAACTTAATAAGGTTAATTTCAACATCTTAATTTTCTGGGATCTTTAATGCATCAGTTTTGGTATTTTGTCCAGTTTGCTTCATTGATCTCTTATTGTCTTGTATTTCTTAATTTTCATCCAACTTTAAAGACTTTGACTGACATTCCTTTTTTAAAACATGGAAATGTAATTACATTTTTAGCTTAAGAGATCCTCTGGAAATTTATGCAGGTTTAGTCTTGTTATAGGTAGATTTTCTTTGACTCATGTCTGTTCTTTTTCACATTCAAGCACATAATTATACATGTCATCTAACTCCTACATCTCTGATTAAAATCCATTCTGATAGCATAAATTTATCCTCTAATCAATAATCCTTACAGGTACTCATTAACACTCTTGCAAATTCTGCTCAGAATGTCCACAAGGTCTCTGTTCCTTAACATTACCCCTAACATCTTCACTCTCTCTTGCTTCACTTAAAGCAAGAATTTATACTCTAAACTGGAATGCAGCTTTGAAGGACCAGCTGATGTTAGATAACTAAGGAACATTTGGATTTTAGGTATTTAAACATCACCTGGGGTATTATATATTAGTAGGAAAATGTCTGTATTAGTTTATTTAGCAGTTTGAAGGGGTGGAAAATGGAAAGAAAAATTACCTGAGTGAGTGAAATTTGCTTGAATATCTTATTTGTGTGTCACTTCAATAATATACTATGGAGTCTAGTAAAATTAGTGGAAAGTAAGAAAACATGTAATCATGATTCAGGGTGGCACTATGCTAAGCACTGTCTGAGAATGCTCTGTAGTCACAGAAGCACAATTCTAGGACCTTGATATCTAGAAGACAGTCTCTGGGTGGTGCTAATGGGTAATGCACTCAGCTGCTAATGAAAGTTTCAGAGGTTCAAGTCCACCCAGGAGTGACTGGAAGAAATGTCAGGCAATTTGCTTCTAAAAACTCAACCATTGGAAATGTTATATGGAGCATAGTTCTGTTCTGACACACATGGTTCACCATGAGTTGGACTTGGCTGGATAGCAATTGATTTTCTGGTCACATCTAGGAAAGATCACTTAACTACTGTACACAACGGTACTGAGAAAGAAACAAACCTTTTGAGACAAAGTGCTTGTCATCACTTATGATGAACTTATGGTCTAGTAGTAGAAATTTGGCATACACAGATAACTAGTGTGTGCCTTTTAGAGATAAAACACAAAGACAAAGACTCTAGCAAGTACTGATAAGACCATCATTGAGGCCATTTGTTACCTTTTGTCTTTTTTGCTTTATAATTTGTTCAGAGAGAATGGAAAGTCTCATAAGGGGGCCTCATGAATGCTTGTTCTGTCTCAATCCTGTGTTAACTGAGTAAATTGTCACTTAGACTTCAAGGCACTAGTGTAGAAAAGCCTAGTTATTTTTATTAGTCCACATTCATTCTTCATCTTTTTTTATTCCTTTACATCATGAAGACAAAATTTGTTTGCTAAAATTTGGTACCATTTTTCAATCTCTAGGATTTACTTGAATTTGATATTTTCATGTTTTCTTCCTTTCTCTTATTTTTGAAGAAAAGAGAAGGAAAGGCATTCCCTCTTAAATTTTTCTTTTAATCATCTTTCATTGTTTACATAATGAAGTAACAATAGCACCACTGCCTCCACCATTTTTCATATCTCAGAGTGCTTTTACATACCTTTTCTCATTTGATGACTACAACAATTTTGTGAGCTAAGACAGGTATCTTCATTTTATAGATGAATGAACTAAGGTAAAAAAGTAATATTTTCCAGTGATTTTTTTTTAAAGTCAAAATTACGCAAAATTACTTGTTTTTGGCTGAAGTGAATGGAAGAATTTGGCAAAATTTTGTGACTGACAAGGCATAAAGTGTGAACAGACTGCCGTGCTAGTTAGTATAACAGTTTTTGCAAATTCATTTCTTAAGTAGGAGAAGGGTTGGATTTTAAAAAATACACACTTATTCTTTTTTTCTTAATTCCTAAGGGTGCCTTTAGTCGTCTTGACCCAACTGGAGAATTCGAGAAAGAAATGATTACAAGAATTCCCTGTGGTCGGCTAGGAACTGTGGAAGAACTTGCAAATCTTGCTGCTTTCCTTTGTAGTGATTATGCTTCTTGGATTAGTGGAGCAGTGAGCATTATTGTTTTTCTTAACTTTTTGGGGAGCAGGCTGGGGATTGGGCACATATTAAGCACACCTAAAAATGCTGAATGAAACTATGACTTAAAATATTTACTTAGCTGTAAATAATACTGGCATAGCATACTACACAAAAACATTTTCTACATACTACTTTGGTGAGTAGGAGCTCTGGTAACATAGTGCCTAAGGCATTTGACTGCTAACCAGAAGGCTGGTGGTTCAAACCCACCAGCCACTCCTCGGAAGGAAGGTTGGGCAATCTACTTCCATAGTGATACTGCCTCGGAAACCCAAGGAGGGGTCGCCATGAGTTGGGGCCGACTCGACGGCACATAACAACAACAACAACAAGATGGAACAAGTGGTCTCTTCTCATCTGGAGCAAAGAAGGATGAAGAAAACCAAAGACACATGGAAACAATTAGTACAAGGGTCTAGTGGACCATGTGAACCTCAGCCTACATGACCATGAGACCAGATGAACTAGATGGTACCTGGCTACCACTGTCAACCACTTGGAAAGGGATCAGTATAGGAGATCTTGGATAGGGTAGGAGAAAAATGTGGAACAAAACTCAAAATCATAAAAAAGACCAGGCTTACTAGTCTGATAGAGACTGGTGAAACTCCCCAGACTATGGCCTCTAGTCACCCTTCAGGCCTGGAATTGAACTTATTCCCATAGCTTCCATCAGCCAAGTAAGGTAAACATTTACACCAGTTAGGTACACTCCTTAAAACTATTAACCATTGGAGATTTGCACCAGGAAATAGTTCAAAGGGCAGGAATGCAAAGGAAAGAAGGACACAGGGAAAGGTAACCACAGGGAGGAAGTGGGAAGAGAACTGTTACATTATGGGGATTGTAGTGAATGTCATGAAACAAAATGTGTATGAACTGTTGTATGGAAAATGAATTTGCCCTGTAAACTTTCACCCAAATCACAATGAAAAAAACTAGTGTATATATTATTTAACCTATAAAATTAACTCATGGATAAACTAAATTAATTTTATTGAGTGCAAGTTGTCATGGTAGACATACCTTTAAGCTGATCTTAAAGATTGGACAATTTGAGTTTGTGGACATGCTAGAAAGAGGATTCTAAATAGAAGTAAGTCAGTTCAGGTTTAATCTTCAGTTTTGTCTTTTAAATTTGGGCTTTGATTGTGCCAAGGAGATATCCCATCCATTTATGATGGGAAAATGGCTAATAGTTTATTTCAGAGTTTTTAATTTTTTTTTTCCTTCAGGTTATTAGATTCGATGGTGGAGAGGAAGCATTTATTTCAGGGGAATTCAACAATCTGAGCAAGGTAATGCCATTTTGTATATATAATAAAATATTGGCAGCTAGGATACTAAGCTTTAAAAACATGTGAGAACACATTAAATTGACATTTTTGTTTTGTCTTAGGTCTCTAAGGAGCAATGGGACATAATCGAAGGACTGATCAGGAAGACCAAAGGATCCTAGGGCCACCTGGTGTTCATCCTTGATTACAGAAAAAGTCAGTGTATAGAACTAATCCAGCAGTTTCTACTCTTTTAAGTTTTTGCAAATCTAATAAATTGTTAATTGACAAGCATATATTGAGTGCGCATTATATGCTAGGTCCAGTGGTAGACATTATATATTCAAAAACTGTATATTCCCTTTAAGAAGTTTGTAAAAGAAAGAGAGAGAATGGATGAGGGTTTTGATAGAAGAAAATGGGTTTACAAGTATACATAAGGGGAAAGGTATATGGAAAAATCAAGAGAAATTTCTTGGAGGTAGTAGCAATTGAGTTACATATTAAATGATACCTATTGTTATGAAGCCCAAAAGAAAGAAACTAGTGAAGATCCATTAAATTTGATGGACTCTGCCTTCCCAGTATTTCCCTTTCATTGATCTTTAGCTGGCTCCTTATTAAGTCAAATTTAAAATGTTTACCAATACCTATTTCATAGCCAGCATTTTATCTGGTAGTAAGGATAAGAAAAAATTCCTTGTCCTCTTGAAACTCATTATCCAATAGGATAGAGAGATCTATAAATAATTATTTTATGATACAGTATGATAAGTATTAGTGATGCTAAATGTTGAAGAGGAAGTATGTCATTCTGTCTCCAGAGTTTTATGGAAAATGATTCCTGGGAGGTAGCATCCCATCTCTGTATTAAAAGAAGAGTAGATTTCCTTAGGTAGAGAAGAGGAATATAGCTTATAAAATATTTTTGTGGGTAAGTTAATTCCATTTCATTTTTGGTCTAATTCATTACCCTGAGAATTAAATAATAAGCAAGCCCCACTCTCACGTTTACGTAACTTGAATTTTAAGCCTATTGTTTTGTTATTTTTAAAAAATTGCTTTCATCAAAGTCACTCAAACATGCTCACTGGATTGTCTCCATTGCCCAAATTATCAAGAGAGGTGACTGGCTTCCGTCTTCTCTCCTCTAAATAGACCTGCAAAGGAATACAGCTTTAATTGGATTGATGTGCTTTAAGCCCCAAAGGGAAACCCTTATTTGTGTTGACAGGGAATTGTGTATACAAATCACATTTATTACACTTAATTGTGTTCATAAATGGGTAAATTTATAGGTTTGAAACAAGTTCCTTGTTACTCCCAATTACACTGGCTTTCACTGACATTTTATGTTAATATTTTTCTTCACATTCTGTCAGTGAAAATACCCAGTCTCCATTTTATCTTTCAACACCAATCTCATTTCCTCTCACTCATCTGTATATTTTTTAAAATTATTAATATCTCTTACAGTATAAAGAAAATAGGTTTATAGTTCTATGGCCTTGGAGAAGTGTCCTCATTTCTTATTTTATCTATAAAATTCAGGACTGTCATTTCTGCCTCTCCAGGATTTTTGTGGATTAGGGTCTTTAGATTAGTTTTTATGCAGGTTAGTTAATACACTCAGCTGCTAACTGAAGGAATGGAGGTTTGTGTCCACCACGAGGTGCCTTGGAAATAAGGCCTGGCAGTCTCCTTCTGAAAAATCAGCCTTTGAAAGCCCTATGGAACACTGTTCTACTCTGACACGTGAGGTCACCGTGAGTTAGAATGAACAGCCACTAAAGACAACAAGCAAGATGAACAAAGTAAAACACTTGTAAAACGTAAAACAGGGAAGGGAAAAATGGAGCCCTCCTGTCCCTTTCTACTGATTTATTTTTAAGACATGGTTATCAAGGTAAAACATGAGAATGTAGAGGAAGAAAGAAAAAAATAACAACTCACTAGCTCTGGTAGCGTAGTGCCTAAGGCACTTGACTGCTAATCAGAAGGCTGGCGCTTCAAACCCACCAGCCACTCCTCGGAAGGGAGATGGAGAGATCTACTTCTGTGGTGATACTGCCTTGGAAACCCAAGGAGGGGTTGCTAAATGGCACATAACAACAACAACATGTATTCCTGCAGTCCCAGCTCCAAAGCTCACTTCCTACAGCAACTGCTTTCAACTATTTCTTTTACTTCTGGCATTATACTTCCATTTTTAAAAGCAACATTCATATTTTGCTATTTCTTTCTATTTTAGAAACTTTGTTGACTTTCATCTTCTATGAATGATGAAAGTTTAGCTCTCCTATTCCATTTCTATACCTACCCTCCACCTCCCACCAAACACACGTGGATATACACAAACTCTCTCTACTTTCTGCCTATATAACCATGTGTCTATTTTTGGTTAAATTCGTATTTGGTGTTTACATTTTGATAAGTTTATAAATTTTGTTATTTTTTCTCAATGTCTTTTCCACATCTTACCTCTCAGTTTTTTAAACATAGTTGTAGTTGTATTATGAATCAGATCCTGCTTTATTCATAGATATGATTTTTAGGATTCTGTTTGCATGTGTTGTTGTTGTTATGTGCTGTCGAGTCGGACCCGACTCATAGAGACCCCTTCTTGGGTTTCTGAGGCAGTATCACTATGGAAGTAGATTGCCCAACCTTCCTTCTGAGGAGTGGCTGGTGGGTTTCAACCGCCAGCCTTCTGGTTAGCAGTCAAGTGCCTTAGGCACTACGCTACCAGAGCTCCTTGTTTGCATGTATCATAATTTATTTAAATCTTAGTTCTAAGCATTAGATTATTTTTATTTCTTAGTGTTGTAAATAAACTGTGATAAACAGTGTACACCGAAAAAAAAAAAAAAAAAAGAAATTCACTGCCGTCAAGTTGGACCCGACTCATAGCAACCCCTCCCTGGATTTCCAAGGCGGTATCACTACAGAAGTAGATTGCCCAACTTCTCTTCCAAGGAGTGGCTGGTAGGTTTGAACCACCAGCATTCTGGTTAGCAGTCAAATGCCTTAGGCACTGTGCTACCAGAGCTCCCCAAACAGTGTGCAGAAAATATTGTTAATATTTGGAATCCCTTCCTTATGATAGATTTCTGGAAGTGGTAGTATTAAGGAAACACTATGAGGCATTTCCTACCATTCATCTGATGCAGAAAGCTAAAAAGAAGATTGAAGGAATACCTCCTCTGAGTCCTGGTTCTCTTGCACTAATAGAGGAGTTTATGCTTAAAGTAAGATGGGGATTACTGGTAATAATGTCACCAGTATTACAATTAATAAGCAAAAATGGAACACCTCCAGGAAATGTTTCAGGTGCAGCTCTTACAACCTCTGTTTCCTTATTGTTCTTGTGGAAACTAAGCAGCAAGAATTTAAGTGACTTTAAGTGATAGCATTTTAGAGCTGGGAAAGTCTTAAGCCAGTAAAATGAAACCAGTTGCTGTTGATTGACTCCAGCTTCTAGCCACCCCATGGATGTCAGTATAGAACTGTGCTCCAGAGGGTTTTCAATGACTGATTTTTGGAAGTAAATCACCAGACCTTTCTTCTGAGATGCCTCTGAGTCTACTCCAACCTCCAGCCTTTCAGTTAGCAGCCAAGCTTGTTAACCATCTGCACCACCATGGACTCTGTTAGAAGCCTTAACCAAAAACTCATTGCCGTTGAGTCAGATCCAACTCATAGCGACCCCTCCTTGGGTTTCCGAGGTGGTATCAGTACGGAAGTAGATTGCGCAACCTTCCTTCTGAGAAGTGGCTGGTGGTTTGAACCGCCAGCCTTCTGGTTAGCAGGCAAATGCCTTAGGCACTAAAAGATACTAATTCTCAGCCCCTTTGTTTTTCAGATGAGGAAATGGAGAGTCAAGGAAGTTAATGTGACTTTTGCCAGGTCACACAGGTTTTCCAGCTAGACCTAAAGCTCACATCTGCCCTGATTGGACCAGTTTCTTGGCATTTTCACTTGAAACAAGAGACAGTAGCAGAATCTTTATGAGGTAGTTATATTTTAAGAGCCTTCAAAGGAAAAAAAGCCCATTAGTTTTTTAAGCCTTTTAATTGAAGGATGACATCTAAAAGTGCACAAATCATGAATTATCACAAAAGGAACACACCCTGTAACCACCACCCAGACAGGGAAATAATAGCACCAGCAATCCAGAAGCTTCTCTCATGTCCCCAATCAGAACTCCTTCCTTCCTTCCTAAAATGAACCACTGTTTTTATTTCTAACACCAAAGTAGGAGCTCTGGTGGCATGGTGCCCAAGGCATTTGATGCTAACCAGAAGGCTGGCAGTTCAAACCCACCAGCCACTCCTCAGAAGGAAGGTTGGGCAATCTACTTCTGTAGTGATATAGCCTCAGAAACCCAAGGAGGGGTCGCTATAAGTCAGATCTGATTCGTTGTCAGTGAGTTAGAACACCAAAGTTCTTGCTGCTTTTTAAATTTATGTAAATAGAAACATACAACATGTGTTCTTCTGTTTCTAGCATTTTTCTGGGTAGCAATTGTTTATGCATTCTCACTTCTACATATTGTTCCACTGTATGAATATATCATAATTTATTATTTGGTGGGCACTTGGGGTTGTTTCTAGGGATTGTGACAGATACATTGCTGCTGCCAGCATTTTTGTTCTTATCTTTTGCCGCAAATATATACACATTTCTCTGTTGGGCTGATAATACCAAGAAGTGAAATTTCTGGGTTACAAGGTGTGCATATGTTCAAGTTTATTAGATACTGTCAACTTGCTTTTGAAGTGCTTACAATTTAACCTCCCACCAAGCAGTGTGTAAAAGTTTCCTTTGTGCCTCATCCTCACCAGGACCTAGCTTTCTTGTGTGTTCCATCACCCAGCATTCTAAACCTCTTTTAGCTTTTCTGATGAATGTATGGTAGTTAGCTCTTTCATTTTTATTTACATTTCTCCTGATTACTCATAAACTTGATTGCTTTTTATATTAGACTTTTAGAAATCCTTTTATTTGTGAAATACCTGTTCAATTTTCTTTCATATTTTTTTATTGGTTCTGTGGTGTAGTGTGTGAGGCATTTGGCTGCTAACCAGAAAGTTGGCAATTCAAACCCACCAGCTACTCTGTGGGAGGTAGATGAGGCAATCTACTTCCACAAAGATTTATAGCCTTAGAAATCCAAAGGGGTAGCTATAAGTTGGAATCTACTCGATGGCAGAGGATTCTTTTTATTATTATTTATATATTTTACATTTATTTTAGCATTACATTTATGCATTTTGGATGCACACCTTCTCAGTTGTAAGTGTCTTCTCCCACTTGGAGGTTTGGTTTTTTCCATTCTCTTAAGTGTTTTTCATGAACAGAAGTTATTAATTTTAAGAGTCAATTTTTTAAATCTTTTTTCTCATTTATAATTGATAGTTAAAAAATCTTTCCATACATGAGGCTCATGAAGATATTCTCCTGTGTTATTGTCTACATACATTTCACATTAGGGCGATAATAGCTCTGGAGTGAATGGTGTGTTACAGTGTGAGGTAGGTGTTGTACTAGTCTGCCCCTTTCAGACTCATTTTTCACCTTTTGCCCTGTTATCTGCCTCAGGAGGCTGTTCTATCGCTTATATGTAAATGTGTCCAATTTAACTGAATTATAGTTGGTATTAGATTCATGACCATTATTACTATCAGCTCCATAGGAAGTCTCTTGAGAGATACTCCCCTCATGCTTCTTCTTCTTTTTTTTTTTTTTTCCTTTCCTTTTCCATGCTGTCATTGTAAGAGTGCCAAGCCTGGTGTAGGTTTTTTTGTATGTATTGTAGCAAACAGCTCTTTTTCCACAAATGAAATGTAGGGAAATTCTGTAGGCTCCTCCTATTCCTTTGGAAAAAGTTATGAAGAGATATTTGACTTTGTTAGTTGGCAAAAAGGTGGCAATATCTGGATTTTTTCTTACATTTCTTTGTAAATCTTAATGTCAGAGGCACCCCTTAATCCAGTAAGGCATCCAGTAATTCATTGAGTTGGGGCTGCATTTATTTAGGTTTCTTAGGCTGTAATAATGTGAGCATCTTACCTTCCCACCTGGTTTAATCACAGAATATATGTCAACTGACATTTTTTAGAAAAAGCAAAAATACAAGAGATGAAGGTTATTCTCCTCTTTATTTATTCTTAGTAGTTAAATTCAGCCTAAAGTCAGTGCTTCCATTTACACACTAGAGGCAAAACCTATCTACCACTCACTTAACATTATTTGGTCAGTTTTATTTTTGGCAGATCTCCTTTGCTGTTCATTCTTGGGGGAAAGAGATAGTTCTTATTTATTTATTAATTTATTTGTCTTGAGAAAGTCAATGTTGAATTTACAGAATGGAGGCATTCAAGCTGATTCCAGAATCATCATCAAGTCTTTGGTGGTACCTTTGTAGATTTTACACAGTCACATCTCTCATGGCTCCCTACTTCACAGTCAAACAATCAGAGAACACCATCATAACATGTCAGCTATAACCAGTACAGAATAGTCTACCTACAAATAAGTGAAATTGTGACGTAGGTGTGGGACAAAAGAATGTTTTAGTCTCCCTTGCTAAAGAAGATAAATGATTACATAGGCATTTCTCTTCAGATATAATGTTCAACTCATTTGAAACTAGTTGCAGATAGAAATAGAGCTATTCTGAATGCTTATCTCAATATGAAATATATGATCCACAGAATACACAAAAGTACTGATGATACAACATTCAACAATCAGGATGCTATGCATTTTTACATTATAATTCAATTATGTAGTAAAAATAGAATTGTTGTAGCTAGAAAAAAATATTTTCAGAGGCAGCAGATACCATTGGTGGAAATGAACAGTTCTACATAGAAAGAAAGTCCAGGAAGTATGCAAACTAGACACCAGGATACTCGGTATATTAAATTTAATCAGAGATGACTCAGAATATGATGTAAAAACTGCAGTTTACTAGTATGATTATAATCTGCAACACATGAGAAAAGTTTGGAAAATGGATTAAGGTCATACCTTCTGACAGTGGGCTTATTGGAAATACAGGTATAGAATCAGACAGATTTAAGTATCAAGTCTCATTCTGCCTTTCCTGATCATCAGATCAACTTCAACCAATAGCTTGGTATAAATTCAAGCAATAGACATGTTGATTAACACACTAAATATTTCTTAGTGAGACTGTTAATTTCATAGAGCCAAAATGAACTGTTTATTGATATTTTGGTGAATATTTTTGCTGTAAAAGCACTTTAATCTTAATAGTTGGAAACATTGCATAGAAATGTTTTGTGGGACAGTCTTCAGGTTGTCTGAAATAAGACTGCTTAGCCTGTTACATATAATTCTATTCAATGACAAATGTGCATTTATGAATCAGAGACTAGAATTTTCGAGATTAATCCTGATAGACTTTTTAGAGAAATCTTGTGCAACAGGATTTCTGAAAGCAAGACTATATTAGATAATTATTTTTGATTGGGTATATTGACTGGCCTAAGCCTAGACATTCTGCTTATCAATCATAGTTACAAAAACTGTACATTACAAACAGTATAGAAACAAGCTGAAAAGAAAGTGCCACACATCCTGGATAATTATCTATATGCAGTTAAATTTACAGATATAAAAGAAAATACAGCCTACTCCCTTATAGTGCACAGTTATTTTTTAGATACAATGTATCGCTAGTAAGTGGTCATGGTCACCTGACTAGTTGTCACCAGCACAGAGAATAAGAGCAAGATCTGTTCGGTACAGTTTCCCTCCATCCGACAAAGCCATTATGCTCTTCTTGTATGTTGGAATATTATTAATATCTAGATCCTGTGTAGACAAAGACAGCACGGTAATCCAGTTAAACACAGAAGTAATCACTGTCAAATGATAAAATGTGGGATGAAAACTGCTTAGTATGTCAGCCCATCAAGAAAAGCTTGATTAAATTCTTATACAGATGTGGAATAATTATAAGATTGTTTTTTAGATCTGTTTATTACAGTTACATTGATTTAAGCGATGCAAATTAAGAATTTAAATCTGTGTAAATTTAAATCTGTTCCTCTACTAATATTTCAATAAATTTCCAAAATAGCTATTTCGGTTAATTCTGGACAGATCTGTAGAATTTGTGTAAGATGTGTCACAATAAGTTACCTGTTTATTCTTCTCACACAGATCCTTCAGCAAAGCGTCTAGTTCATTTTCATCTATGTATCCATTTCCATCCTGGGGCCAGAGAAATAAAACATACAATCAACTCCATCCACAATAATGAAGCATGACATAAAATGGAGATAATTGAAATCCTTAGAAAATTGCCCCACTGAATATTTAGCAGATGTTCTAAACTCTCAGGCCTTCAGAATTTCTGTTGTAGTTGTTTAAGCTGAGTCAATTCTGACTCATGATGTCCCCATGTATGTAGGGTTTTCAATGCTGTAACATTTTGGAAGCAGATCATCAGGCCTGTCTTCTGAGGTGCCTCTGGGTGGGTTCACACTGCCAGCTTTTCAGCTAGTTAACTACTTAGCTCAGCCCACCACACAAGGACTTCAAAATTTTTAGCTGCTCCGAAATTCCAAAATAGATCTAAGTTGCCTCTCATTCAATGCTTAAATTTGTAAAACACCTTGAACTTTTCAATGTACTTTCACATTTAATATTTTACTCTGTTTTTACAATATTGTCTCCTGTTGAGGTCAGTAATCATAAATATATTCATATGGCAAGTGAGATTTACTGATCAAGATATTGAGGTTCGGAGAAATTTGGTATTTTGTTCAAAGCCTGACAGCAGATATATTGTGGGAGAGGATTTGAATCAAGATTTGTCTAATAAGGACCATACTATGAAACATTTCTTATGGAAAAGAATGAATTGTTTATGTAATTTCAATATTCCATGATCTTCTAATCTTGAATTTGCAGGGAATTTTTCCTTAATGAGCATTTTCAGAATTCTTCTAAACATTCAAATTATAAAGAAAAACAAACTTTTACCTGATCATATAACTCAAAAGCCTTATTGAACTCTTTCCCACACATTTTGATTCCCTAAAAGATAGAAAAGGTTAAAATGCTTTTATTATATTTCGTGGGTTTCCGTTGGTAAATCTGCCACATTCTAAGTGTTCAAGGAAAATAACATTTATGGCTGAGAAAAAGTTAAATACCTGAAATTTAAGAAGAAAATTCTCCTGAACTGGTAGTAACCTTTTGAAAGAAAAAATATTATAGTAATACATTAGTCCTTTTTTTTCCTACAAGCTCAGCTTATTACAATGGCATTTTCATATTTCCTAAACTCACCTGGCCATCTCAGTTAACTCCAGCTTCCCATCATTATTTGAATCAAATAATTTCAGCTGAAAGACAAAAATCATTATTCTAGCCATTGAAGAATGATTATCAAGTACTTAGCAAAATTCTAGAAACTAGTATTTTTTGTTCACTTCCATGCAATAACTTGTGTCCATCTCTAAAATTCATCACAATACTACAGAATAGTCAAAAATAATAGTGGCCTTAACTAGGCTTCTTGAAAATCATCCTTTATTATTTTTTGTAACTATATATATCTAGAGTCTGACAGTATACAATAACCCCAGAACCTCTGCAAACAATAGTATGAAAGTAAGCATTTCATGTGTTTCCCTTTCTTTAGAACACATGACAGTACAAACAGAAGCAATAGGCAGCTAACATGGATGAGTTCTTAGTGAACAGAACTTTTGAGTAATTTTGAATGGCTTTGTGCTCCATTGGGTACTAGATACTCAGTAAAGCCCCCTACTCTACTGTTAACACTTAAGATACGCACCATACACTGAGACATACTCAGATACAACACATTGATACTCATGTTGGAGAAGCAGTCACGTTTTTAGAAAGTAGTAGCTATTGCTATGTGGTATCTCTACTTAAGTAGATTGCCCAATCTTTCTTCTGAGGAGTGGCTGGTGGGTTTGAACCTCTAGTCTTCTGGTTAGCAGTCAGACTCCTTAGGCACTACACCACCAGAGCCCCCTGTATATAAGTACTACATATAAAATGTACTAAATTTGAATATTAAATATGTGAAGTGAGTATCATTATTTTTAACAAGAGGACAGTGATTAGGGTTGTGCTGGAAATAGATTCAGTGAGGTTTCTTAAGGAAGAAAAGGAAGAGCATTTTATGGGTGAGATACTCAATTTTTTTGTAGGAGGCAGATTTCTTCAGGGCTCAATATTGACACAACATTTTATAATTCATTGAACATAAATTCTAATATTGTCACACTATTTTTCAAGATACTACACAACTAGATCACACAGTCTGGTGCCCATAGGGAAATATTTCCTCAAATATATGTTGAAATTTTAATTAGTTCTTGATTAACTTGCTTCTGAATTTGAACTGGTTTATGACATTTAATCAGATATACCAGGCCAATCCAACAGGGGGAAAACTCCCAATTGAGTGGTTTTTAAAAGCATGCTTCAAATTTCTACCTGGAAAGGAGTCTTTACTTTAAATAGACATCTGTTAAAATTGGAGCAAAACAGAAAATTGATAAATGTAGGTTATTGTCCGTTACCTAAAAGTTACTCAGGGTTTAGATCTGCCCATTGCAACACATAGCATGAAAATCTCCCCACTTTTATACTAATGCTGTGATAAATAGTAATGTAATAAGGAATTAAAACAACATTTCCTTACAGGTAATACCTTTTTTAAGGTGTTGAGACTAAAGATTAGTTTTTTACAGTGAATACCATTGAAGAGTGAATAATGCAATTGTAAATTTCTAGAGTTTTTTGTTATTTTCTAAATAAAAGTAGACTAAGAGAGTGAAAGTAAACCTCACATCAAATAAAATCAAATTCTTTTTTTGTTTCTCAAGGTAACTAAAAAGTCTAACTCCATCAGTCTAATATGACACAGTAGCTTTTATGATTCGCTGCTATGTTTTACTGGGTTATTTTTTTAAATTAATAGGGTAAGAATTCACTGTACCTTCACAGTATATAAGATATGAATAAATATATGTATCCATCTGGATTATTTAAAACTCTGTCTTAATTTCAAAAATTAGACAATTAAAGTGATCCCAAAATATTGGTCTATGAATTGGTCACTTTCAGTTAAGTACTTTTTCCTGGTAGTCCTAATCCTGTAAAGAATCAAAACTGGTAAACTTCACCTACTTGAAATGAATTAACTTATGGATATTGGATTATTTAATGTAGAACCTCATTAATTCATTTGTTCATTCTCTAAACATTAAGTGCCTGTGTGTAAACCAGTTTTCTTGGTTCTATTGTCAATATTCTACAACTGATTTTGGTTATACTATTTACCATATAAACAGACTGAATAAAGTAGCTAGAAAGTTTCTTTTAACTCTGACAAAATCTATGATTTCCTATGCCATGATGGAAATGGATTCCGGATCTCTATGATAAATGATTTTTAGAGAGATAATTACACTGGCTTATTAAGAAAAAACAAACCATCTTTTGATAGATAAAATTTACATAGCTCCAAGAAAAAGAAATGCTCACATGTTGAGTTTTAGCATCGATGCCAACAGCACTCCATATCAGCTGGGATAAGCATCCTTAAGTATTTCACTTTTCAAATGAACCAATGCCTATGTGCATGCGATGCCCATATCAGCAGTTATTTATTACATCTGTGTAGCCACAGGGCTTGACCAGAGCACAATAATATTTCATAATCTTTTGTTTATAATCTTTTCAAGATCAGTCTTACCATTAGGTCTGTGTACTCAGCTAATTTTGTATCATCAACAGTCTTGTTTGCTTTTTCTAGCAAATCCTTTAGAAAGTTCTGTTAAGACAAAAAACACTCAGATAAATTTAATCAATAATGTGATTTTGCTGCTTCCATTTCAGCGTGCCTTGAAAGGGAATGTCTCAGGAGTGCAAAGAAGGCCTCTTTTTTGAGGAGAAGGGATGAGGGGAGGATCTTAGAAGTTGAACTAAGCCCTGTGGTCCTCTTGACATTCCAGCCATCAAACTGCCTTAGGTGTATTTACCTTACTGAGACCTGATGTGTCAGAGTCCGCGCTACACTGGGTTTTATGATTTCAATTAAAGGAGTTTCTGAACTGACCCTTGTTTAGGAATCTGAATAAAACACCTTTGAATCAGTCAGCCCAAAGGCTGCATTTTTACGTAAAGAAATCTTCACAGGTGACTCTTCTACAAGAAACGCAAAGGCCCTCATGCTGTATACTTCATACCATGTGTGAAAAATGATCAGTAAACCAGATGTAGAGCTCCTCTAGCTACCTCTAGTTTCAAATGCATTTTCTACCCTCACAAGCTGTATGAAGTTCGTTTCACAAGAGGACTAGTTGGTTAGTTTTAGGCTCAATCTGAAGCACCTTAGTGAGAATGCTTTAGCACACATTAAATAAAAATGGCTGGCCTCAGATGTTATCATCTAATCCTTGAAGGATATATGAATCATAATAAAATAGAGATTAATGTGGGAAGGATGAAAAAAGATGATTATTAGTTTGACAGCTGGAGTGAAGGAGTGAGTTTGATTTTTTTTAACAGAAATAAATCAAATCAAAGCTTTATAAAGGCTTGCCATATAAATGACAGTATAAGTACTTAAGCTTATAATAGTCTTTAGTTTTTCTCTAGTGATGTTCGTTTGAAACTCTTTATTGTTCAGAAAATGAATTAATGCAATTATGGAAAACTGAGCAGATACATTCCCCAGATATTATTGAAGCATGGGGTTTCTTTGGTTCTGCAGTGGTTTAATTTCCCACCCCACCCCCCAAATGTACCAGTTCTGTTAAGTTGACTTTTCAGTGAAGGAGACCCTTTTCTGAGTTTGATAAATTCATTTTCACTTCAAACATTCCACTTCAAATCCAAAGTGAAGCGTGGAAAATTCAAAGGAATCTGCTGGGAGTGAATTTTATTTTTGAGCCTTGTGAGGCTTTTGTCAGAGATTAATTGGGTTAAAAAGCCTCATCAGAGACTAAAATGGTGGTCACAAAAATAGCTTAGGAGAAACCTCGGGACGCTGAGATTCCAAGTTGTGTCTGAGAGCACGTGACGTTTTACTCCATTATACATCTTAAAATTAGCTTTCTTGAAAGATCCATTAAAAAAGAATGCCAACTTATCTTTAAAATTCTCTAGGGAGGAGGACTTCTATTTAGAATTTCTTTCTGAGCATAAAATTTAGAACAAAGAAGGAGACCTTTAGGAGATTTTGAGGTCAGTATTGGAAATGAATGTAAGTTTTTCTTATGAACTTGAAAAGAGATTTTTTTTTTTTAAAACTGTGGTCCAAAGGGAATAAAAATACAATAGCTTAACTGTCACCTAGGTTGCTGAGCTGCAAGTTTGTGAAAGACATTCTTTTGAGTGATTTTCTACATAGAATGCTTACATTTTTACAAGGCCTCAGTTGAATGTGTGTTAGCAATTTTGTAGTGGTTCAAATGTCCCAGTTCCATCTCTAAAATTGTACACAACTCAAACCATGTTGAACTATGACTAGGGAACTATGTTTGATACTTATATTTCTCTCCATAACAGCAGAAGAGATGCTATTGATGAAGGGATATGCTGGTGTAGGGGAAAACACAACCTTATTGGCATATCAGGTGTTCTGGGTCCAAATGATTCTTTTTCTAGGCAACCATGTAACATTGAACAATTATCTATCTTGCTGAACTTCAGTTTCTATCTATAATGGGAATGATAATACCTGCTTGACAAATTTTTGTGAAGATTCAATGTTGAAATTTCAGGAACTGAGTACTGCTTCTGCCATACAGTCAGTGCTCAGTACATATTCACTGTATTCTGAAGACAGCGAAAATAATGCTTCCCAGACCGAGACATCTTGAGGTTGGTCTGAGGAGATAAGAGAACTATGATTTCATATTTTTGAAAGACTAGTAAATTATTGAGCTCGCTAATAATATAATTTATGATGCCTTGCATTTTATAATATGTACAACATCTTATTTGTGCCTCCCAGTAAATCTGAAAGGACAGTATTATTACTTTCATTTTAAAGAAAAAATACCAAGTTAGGCTATACAGGGATTTGTTTGCCCAGAGGTGAAACCTGATGTCAGATCATTTTGCCTTTTCCTTCATCTTCTCCTTGTGTCTCACCACACCCTCTGTACATCTGTCATCTATGAGTTGGCAAATTCATTTTCAAAGTGGCAGTTTTCCGGCAGTTTGAGTATATTAGGATTTTGTTGTTATTATTGCTGTTGTATAGAATGTCTAGGGGCCTTGAAGGCACACAAACCTGGGTTTAAATATTGCAGCCCTGTGTCTGTATTTCCACATCGGTTGATTAACCAATATAAAGCTCATTTCACAAGAGGGCTAGTTGGTTAGTTTAAGGCTCAACCAATCTGAAGTACCTTACTGAGAACACTTCAGCACACATTATGTGAAAATGGCTGGCCTCAGATGTTATGATCTAATCCTTGAAGGATATATGAATCATATTAAAATAGAGATTAATGTGGGGAGGATGAAAAAAGATGATTATTAGTTTGACAGTTGGAGTAGTGTGGACTTCAATATATCCTTGAATAGTTTTCAAACTTTTTCCTCACTGAGGTAATACTAATCTCACAGAACTGATGTGGCAATTAAAAAGAAAATATGTGTAAAGTAGTTGCCTTATAAGGGGTACTCAACTGTTTTTCCTTTGTCTTTCTTTTAAAAGGAAAAATATACTTATATAGGTGTTTATTTTATAGACTATAATTTCAAATTTCAATGAAAAGGGATAGTTCATTGTACTAAATATGTAGTTCTCTCTCAGAGAACAATTTGTGTACACTGTGGAAAATGCTAATTTCTTGCTTTGCTGAACAGAATTTCAAGAAGTACTTGCAGCTCTTTTTTTGATCTGGAACTTCATTAATAATGTGTAAGAGTGGGTGAAAATATGCCATTGCTCAACATTGGTTTCTTTTGTGGGAGGTTTTTAAAAACGATATGAAGTCCTTAGTAGTTCATAATTGTATTTGAAAGGAAAAAAAAAATTAGCAATTAGCACAAGTATTTATTTGCTTACCTTCAGCTCCTCAGTTTCTATGAAGCCACTGTGATCAGTATCATATCTTCTCCATGTCTGTAAGCAATTTTCAATAAGGAAAACCAATATATTAAAAAAAAATCCAATGATTTCATATTTTAAGCAGCTTTTTGAGGGCCTCGCTCAGCGACAGCTTTCTCGTACCTTCATGAATTCCTCACAAGACTTCAGCTGCTGGCATCGGAAGAGCAGTAGGAAGTTTTCTTCTGTGGGTAATACATGAGCCAACTGGAAAAGATTTAAAAAGACATATATTGTAAGGGGCTTGAAAGCAAATCTCTGGTATCACCTGCTGCTAAGGTTTCTCTTCAATATGTTCTTCTCCTAGAAGAAAAATAGTAGGGTCAACTGTTCCTTTCTGGCACTTTGTTCCTGGAGAGTGACATGTTTTTGAACACTTGTGTGCCTCTGAGTGCTTGATTCTCCCCTCAGTGTGATGGCTGTGCCGACGTTCTCAGATATGGCCAGTCTGACTACTTCCAGTCTGCTAACGTACAAGCAGATTTATCCTTCATCTGTTTTCAGTCACTGACCAGGTCTCCCTGCAGGACAGCACACTTTGGAGCCAGAAATTCCGTGTGTGATGGGAACTGACAAATGGGAATGTGAAGGAAAAGAAGAAAAGAAAGTGTATTTCCAAGTCCTAGGAAATGCAAAGGAAGGTAAACCTAAAGCACTTGTAAGGCAGTGGAAAGAGAGGTAGAGAAGACAATTCACGATGAACAGTGAGAAATTTGACAGTAATAGGAAAAACCAGTTGTCAAAGACTTGTCTCCTGCTAAAAGAACATCCACAGTTTGAACCCAGGGTGTCAGTTTATTTTTGATCTCTACTTCCCTGGCTCTATGACGTTTCCCCTTAGATCTCATTTCATAACTTCAATGTACCTCTTTTTTTTTCTGAGAGAAAATGGCTCTGGATCCCATTTTAAGACTAATATAATCTATCTCTTGCAGTGTTAGGAGGTAGGGAGCTGGATTGATGGCCCCACCTCAGACATGGGCTCTATTTCTGGCTCAGCTGCTAATTAGCTGTGATCCCCAGCAACTCCCTCAGCCATTTCTGGACTTCAGCACCCTGATAACTAAAATAAGAACTTAAAATAGAAACCAATGTTTCTGAAATGTATTGTGTTCAAAGCTCTTTTGAGAATCTGTTGAAATCGATGCATCTTCACCACTAGGGAAAGTATGTACACAATGCATTTGATTTCCCTGGGTTTTAGTCCAAGAATATATTTTTAATCCACTCTGAACTCAGTACAAGTTCTAAAAGTTCTGCCAAATGATAGGAAAGGCTCTCACTCCTAGTTTTTTGGAGGGAGTGGAGTATGGATTTCATTCTTTGGTGTCCATTAAAAACATTTTAGACAACATAAATGTGTCATTCTCCTTTATCTGCAAGCAATCTCATCTTCCTTATGCCTTTGTAATATATTCTTTATATTGCCCTTTTGTCTTAGAAACAATGTCTCAAATTAGAACCATTCAGTTTACAGACAGTCCTTATAGGGGTGAGACTAGGCAAAGGGCCTAACATGTTATTGGGATGTTTATGGTATGATACATTCAGAAAGCATTTTCATATTTATTTTGATATAAGTGTCATTAGTGTAGGTAGATGGTAATATATTCAAAAAGAGAAAATAGAGATTTAGGATTTGCCAGTGATATCTTTTTGATAATCAGCCTTTGATCTTTAAACAGATTTACGTCACTGCATTGTGTGTGTGTGTGTGTGTGTGTGTGCGCGCACATATGTTATCCATGTTTCTTATTAAATTCAGGGTACACTTCTGTGATCTTTCAATTCTTGAATCAGAGAATTCTATACCTCAGAAATAATTTAGTTCAATGTAATTCAGAGCCCAAATGATGCAGTTGTGAAGACTGAGATCTAGAGTTTGAGTGATTTGATTTGGCTGGTGATTTGACCTTGGTAATTACTTATTTGCTAATACTTAGTAAATCAAGTCACCAATATGTTTATTATGTGGGCTGATGAGAGCTGTGTGCCCAATGAGGCTTCATCAATGACTGATCCACAGGGAGCTATAAATTCTGAGCCCTTTTGCTCAAAACTTGAGGCATCTCTGAAAGTTCATCCTAACTTGAGAGCTCACTGTAGGGTTCACCTAAGCCCTCTATTGAGACTCTATCAGAGCTCAACTTCTCTGTCTGTCCAGTCCTGCCCCCTTCCCTTTCCTTTCACAGTTATTGATCCTAAGAACGAAAACCAAATAAAACCTGTTGTCATTGAGTCCATTCCAACTCATGGTGAACCTATAAGACAAAGTAGAACTGACTCATAGGGTTTCCAAGGTTGTAATCTATGCCATAAGGCATTTGACTGCTAACCACCAGCCACTCCTCAGGAGGAAGATTGGGCAATCTACTTTCATAGTGATGTTGTTGTTGTTGTTATGTGCCGTCGAGTTGGCCCCGACTCAAAGCGACCCCTCCTTGGGTTTCTGAGACAGTATCACTACAGAAGTAGGATTGCCCAACCTTCCTTCTGAGGAGTGGTTGGTGGGTTTGAACCGCCAGCCTTCTGGTTAGCAGTCAAGTGCCTTAGGCACTATGCTACCAGATCTCTGCCTCAGAAACCCAAGGAAGGGGTCATTATGAGTAGGATCTGACTCCATAGCAGTGAGTTTTGGTTTAGGTTTGGGTTTTGGTTAATCTTTATGAAAGCAGACTGTCACATCTTTCTCTCATGGAGCAGCTGGTGGGTTCAAACTGCTGATCTTTTGTATAGTGGCTGAACACATTAACCATTGTGCCATCAGGGCTCCTTTAGGATCCCAAGAGCACCTCCTAAAAAACCTCCCTGTACTAATCTTCAACTCAGAATCTGCTTCCCAGGAAACTTAGCTAATGGCAGGGAGTTTGACATCTTTATTCTACTCCTAGTCATGGAGCCTCTGCCTTGTTTTGGAAAAAGTTGAAATTCCTCACCTGACTGAGAGTCCGAACCCACTAAATATCCATTGTGCTGGATACTGGGCATTCACAGTCACTGCTAATAAGAATCTTACAGGGAGGCAGATGGGTAAACTAGACAGTTGCAAAGATAATAAAATTATAAGACTAAGTCCTAGGTACACATGAAGGGCAGCTTTACTAGAGGCATAGATGACTGGTATAGACAACTTAAAGTGGACATGAGCATAATTCCTAAGCCTTTTATGTAATCATAGTACATATTAACCTTATTCAACATATTTTAGCAAAGCATTCACCTTTTTTCTTTTTGAAAATGAGAGAAATTTTTCTTATCACATGTTTTTGGGACCCCTGTCCCTTACTTTCATCACCCTTCATTAAAATCTTCCATCAAAGAGTTTCCATAATAAATCACTAAAAATCTTTCCAGAGCAAAGTCTTTAATCAGATATTGTCAGACATTTCCCCAAATTCTGAGGTGGAAAAGTAGTTCATAAGAAAAAAATTATACTCACCACGGCTAAACTCATATCGTCAAACATAGGTAGAAGAAAGAGGGAAAGGCTAGAGAAGTGCCTGCTTCCCTAGGAGGATTGTTACAGTTTTAAGGTTAAAATAGCTTTTAGATCTATTTTTTTTTTCAGTGATGCACTGACCTGGACAAATCCAAACACTGAGACTAAGTGAGGAGATGGTAGGCTCCCATACATTGTGTAAAGGATCCAGTGAGACACTTACAGATTTGACATCCAGCTGAGGGAAGTATCTATACTAACATGAGCATCAGGAGAGAAAATTCTATCACCTGCTACATCATTCAGTTCTCATCTTTAATTGTCTTAATCATCCTTTACTGCAACGGAGTGTAAGTCTGAATAAATTTAGAAACTTTTTGACTGTCCCGGTTATTTGTTAAATTATCTTGGAATTTCAGTGCTCCTATTTTGAGTTCGTATTAACAATATCTTTATTACAGAACTGTAGGTTGTGAGAATTTTTAAGTCTCTTTAAAGATATGAAATTATGAAGTTCAGAAGAAAGCATATCTGTACATTATCCTCCTTTTTTGCATGTTTCTAGTTGGTGAATGCATGATGTTAGAAATATCAATCAACTGCATTAGGCCAGAACTTTAAAATTAGCCACTGTATTTTCCAGTCTTTTGAGCAATATATTTGCAATTAGAGCCAAATTGTTTTAGGCTGTTCCATCAAGAAAGTAGACTGCATGATCATCATTTGGTTTACTTTCATTGGGCTTGGACGAGGCCATGAGCACCTGTATTAAGTAGGCCTAATCACTATGAAAGTAGATTGCCCAATCTTCCTTCCCAGGAGTGGCTGGTGGGTTTGAACCACCAGGCTTCTGGTTAGCAGTCAAATGCCTTCGCCACTACACCACCAGAGCTCCTTTAATACATAGGCAGGACCAACTTCCCTTTTCCCTTTGAACACCAAAGTTATGGTACACTTGGTATGAGTAGGCAGATAATTACAAATTTTGGAAAACACAGAGTTTCCTGTTCCTTAGTAGCTGGCTGGACTTTGTATATTTTTGTCTAATGTTATACATAGGCTTTCTTACCAAGACAGCATATATCAATTTGGAAAAAGCAAGGATGAACTTATTTTACTACAACTTCCTAGTGACACTTGATGGCACAGTGTAACTTTAGGAATTTTCTCTTCTCCCTTTTTTATTTTCCTTTCTTCATTTTCTACATCTATTCTGTAATGTTCTTTGTTTTTTTCCTCCAATAATTTTCAGAACCTCTCCTACATCTCTTCGTTACTATTCAGCCATCTTAGTTTTGCAAGATGGATTGACACAGTGGCTGCGACGACGGGCTCAAGCATAGCAAGGATTGTGGCTATGGGACCAGACAGTGTTTCATCCTGTTGTATATATGGATGCTATGGGTTGGACCCAACTCGATGGCACCTAACAGCAACACAATTTTACTGTGTCTCATAGGGTCACTAAGAATCAGAATTGACTCAATGGCAATGGATTTTTTTTCCTTTAGACAGAATTGACATGCATCTAAACTATTGCAGCGATCTCCTCCTTGTTCTCTTGTCCTGTCTCCAGCTAATCCCCACCTTTACCCTTCTGTTAGCTGATAATTGAGGTTAATGAAGAGCTCTGTAATCAGACTCAGATCCAGGTTTATATATAGGTTTTGCTACTCCCTGTCAGTGGACCTGGGACAAATCATTCAACTTTTCTGGGTTTCAGTTTCTTCATCTTTAACACTTCTGGCTAATTCTTCTTAAGGGTCCTGTCTAGCATAAAGTTCCATGTCATGGAACACAAAATGCTTCACATCTCTCCCTTCAAACTCCTTCTACTTCAGCTGATCTGAAAAACCAAGCCAAAACCAAACTCACTGCCATTGAGTCAATTCTGACTCATAATGAGCCTACAGGACAGAGTAGAACTGCCCCACAGGGTTTCTAAGACTATAAATCATTATGCAAGCAGACTGCCTGATCTTTGTCCCATGAAGCAGTTGGTGAATTCATACCACCAACCTTTTGGTTAGTAGCCAAAGGCCTTAGCTACTACACCAAAAGTCTTGCCCAAATTGTATCTCATGTATTTTGTCCTAAAACATACTATATACTATGTGCATCTTTATCCAACCAGACTAAAACCTTTGACGTAAGTAGTCAACCAACTGAAGCTTGAATATCTTTTCTTTTAATGCAAAAAATGTACTCTTTCTTTTTTATAAACAGGCAAAGTTGATTAGAGAAAATGGCTTGTTTCTGACTGTTGCAATATTTATTTCTAAACACTTTTTATTGTAATTTGAGTAAAAGTACAGAGCAAATTGGTTTTCTAGTCAACAGTTCATACACATTTTGATTTATGATATTGATTGCAATCGACACAATTTAACAATGCTCTTCCCACGGCCTTCCTGTGTTTATCATTCCATTCCATCCTTTCCTACTCCGTCCTGCCTTCAGGCTTTGTCACTGAGCAAAAGCTGCTCTTTTGATCTCATAGTGTTGATTACGGTAAGGAGTACGAACCTCCAATATTTTATTTTTTCTCTGACCTTAGGCAAATCCTCTTGAAGCCTCAATTTCCTCATCTATAGAATAGATGCTCATTTCATACTGAGACTTACTTTATTTTTGTTATGAGGAGCAAATGAGATCATGTATTTGAAAACACTTTATAAATAGTATAATGTCATTCAAAAGTAATTTTTTTAATTGTTATAAAATCCCTAATTTCTTCATTTTAACCTTCAATTAACTTCTTCATCTTCCCCTGTTATCTGTCTCTATCTTTCCTCACATAGAAAAACTCTTTCCTATGACAGAGTTTCTTTTCAAACTTCTGGGGAAGTTTCTTTCCTCAAGCCTTCAAAAGAAGGCATTTGTTCAGCAACTTTTAGTCTCTCATTCAAATTAGACGTCAAACCATTTTATAAATAAGCATATCTAAAAGATTGGATTTATATTAAATATAGTGAAACTGAATCCAAGAAAGGTTTATCCATCTTGTTCTTTAAGAATGTAAAATCCATATGAATCAGATCCATGCCTTTTGTATTGTTGCACAACTTACTATTGCTGGAATCTTTCAAGCTGAAATATATTAAATGTAGGATGACAGCCATCTTCCTTTATTAGACTTATAAAATATACAAAACTCTGAAATAGACACATCTATAATTTCACTGATTTTAGATTTCCCAAGTAGTTTTGAATAATTAGATTCACCTCATATAATTTATGAACATTTAAAAAATTATTTTTTTCTCTTTGATGATTTCATATCTTGATTAGTTAGCTTCTCTGTTAACCTGGGTCCATTACTATTAATTTATCTATTTATATACTAATGAGCTACCATAGGCAATGAGGAAAGTGTATACCCCAGGGAAGAAATTTAATTATAAGGATAATAATAGTGTGTCCGTCCTTAACTCTATTTGTACTAGCTGCTTAAAAATAAGTATTATTCACAGTGGCATTACAAGTGTCCTATAATATTATTTGAAAACTAGGTTAGTACTCTGAATCAAAGGTAAATTGTGACTAAATGGTGACAGCCAGAATACTTCACAATCTACTGCACTGAGAACATTCTATTAAGAACATAATTATGGTCATGATTTGCCATATTTTGAAAAATAAGCCTATTAATTTTTCTGGACAAAGCTTTCCCCTCATTTTCATTTATAGAGATAAAATAGTTGAAATATAAGAACTTGGAAAAGAAGAAGTAAGGGAAGCAACAGTTCCTTCACAGATCTGAGAATGCAGTAGGGGAATTGGTGCATAATCAAAAGTTTGGTTCCTTGATTCATAGATAAAAGGAAGTTGTCCTCCATGAGAAAAGTCAATGTCAAAGATAAGAGTTTACACCCCCAGTTTTCACTTTTTAAGACTCAAAATAAATCTGTGCCTTTCACAAATCATAAGGCCAGCTGCCAATCTAAAATAGAATTTTTGGAACCAGAATACAGGTTTTTGCCATGACATTGTCATGGGAATTGTATATTTTGTACATATTTTAATGGAAAATTTTATCATTAAATGGTAAGAAATACCAATTAACCAGGTACTTGGTTGGGTGTTTTACTGAAGGTTCTGTAATGCAATGGGATGAAAGCTAATCCTGAAGTTGGCAACTTGGGCTTCCAGCTGCACCTGCGCCAGCAAACAGCTGCATGACCAGAAGAAAACCGTTTCACTTCTCTGAGTCTCAATTTTTTAATATGCTAAATTTAGACTATGGATTAGGCAAACTCTTCCAAAAACCACATGAAACTCACTGCCATCAAATCTATTCCCACTCATAGCAACCCCTATTAGGTTTTTCAAAGGCTATAAATCTTTACCGAAGCAGACTGCTTCCTCTTTCTTCCATAGAGCTGCTGGTGGTTTCAAACTACTGACCTTTTGGTTAGCAGTCAAATGCCTTAACCGCTATGCAACCAGAGGTTCTTATGAAAACTCTTAGGTTTCTTTTATTTCGGAACATTTGTTACTTAATATTTCTTAAGAGAAGATAAACATGCTATTTAGGGGAAACAAGTTTCTCTGAATTGGTCTTGCCATATCATATGTGAGCCGGACGCAACTACAAAATGAACTCATTTATTAACATTATGCTTCAGAAAAATGCTTAGTTTCTTACCTCTACAATTCCTATTTTTCCATCATCCCTCTGCCCATACTGATCCACAAAAGTCTTCATTTCAGGTGATAGCTCCTAAAATGATATAAAAGCAGGCAAGAAGTTTGTAAAACAACAACAACAAAAAAAAAAAAACCAATTATGCTTATGTGGTGTTAACAACTTACTGAAAAAAGATCTGGAATTGGGACTGTTTGGAATTATGTGCAGTGATTAGCTATTCTCATGAAAATTAAAGATGTAACTGGTATTCAGTATCTGTGATTTCAAATAAAAGGGTAATAATTATGATAATCTCCTTGATTCAATCACTATTATTTATCATCTATTAGGAGGTTTGAGAATGTGCTATCTTTTGAAAATGTAGTTGGAATTATTCTATTCATAACCTGTAGTGAGTTTAAATATAATGATCACTGTTAATGTACTTTAAACATTGCTTTCTTCGGTAAAGATTCTTTTATATTGCTGCACTATCGTCCTTACTCTACCATAATATTTTAGCCATGGAAAGTAACAATATGTGTTCTCAGTTTGGACAGGTGTAAAATGCAAATGTTGAAAAGTGACTCTATAAGCAAAGAATGTTTTCAGCATTGAAGAGGTTTTAAATAAGTAGCTAAAAAAGTTTAGTATTAGAAAGATATGTCAGATGGTGGACTTGACCAATTTGCATTTTGATCAGAGACAGACAATATCACTGAACTTATTTTATGCCCCGGGTAATCTATGCTTGCAATCTTTGCTACCAAGAGTAATTTAGAGAGCAGTTTTCAAGTTTTGCCATTTTCATTTATTTCAACGCAATAAGATGTTTAAGTGTGACAAAGTTAATACTTTCTTCTCATTTGTCTTGTTTTTCATCTCTTCTATTGCTTAATAATCTCTTCACATATTGACAGATTAAAAAGCTATGAATTATAAGCTAGCAATCTGAACATAGAACTAATATGCAGAAAGTTGGATTTTTACCCTTGGACCACAACATAGGCCATTTAAAATAGCTATGTTGCATTAACTGAAACCTATTTAAAATAGGTCAGCCCTTACTAATGGCCTACTCTGCATCCAGAGTAAATTAAGGTCTTAATTTTCATCATTACTAAGAAGGTGATATTATCTATCACAAAGATTTACACTAGGGATAGATAGCTTAATATATTTTAAGGGCTATGGTGAGGCTAAATATCATTACTGCTGTTGTTGTTGTTGTTTGCCGTTGAGTCAGCCCCGACTCATAGCGACCCCTCCTTGGGTTTTTGAGGCAGTATTACTACAGAAGCAGGACTACTAGTACTATGAAATCCTTTTTGATCCAAAGGAAATGGTTTTAGGAAAATTAAGGTAACAAATAATAACAAGGCAATTTAATTATAATGTGTGTTGTTGTTGTTTATAATGTAGTCTTTTCAAAATATAAACTCATCTACCATTGATAAATTGCAATTTGCATTTGTTAAATATGTATTACAGGAACAATTGTAAGAAAATAAAAGTTTTTTATTTTCCCAATTGTGATAATGAGACTATTGGTTTCTAGTTTTTAAACATACCTTAAAATAATTAAAAACCAAGCATTTATTTCTTAAATCTTGAGAACTGTGCAATACTATTGTGTATTGAGAATTCTGTCAAGTATAACCAATAGACTTGACATTTAGTTATGAACTTTCTGGGTGATAATTATATTTAAACAGTGTAAAAGATATGATAATGATCAATTAAAGCTTTATAAAAATGAATGCAAATTTAAAGACTAAGCACTATGTTTAGTGTAAAAGGATAGTTTTAGAAAATCTATTGGGATGTTGTAGTTCATCAAGGTTATTATATTCATTTATATTTAATATTAGTTAAAAATTTTAAATTTTACATTGTTAATTGAGAAGCCCAACAAATTTTCGATTGATATAGTGAAATTTGTTATTATACAGCAGGAAATCCTAAGAACACTGATTTGTAGATTCAACTTTTGTGTTAAGTTTAAAGCAATGGGGTTGTTAGTAGAGTGAAACATGTTTCTTATGAACCTCTCAATCTAGATATTGATATAGATTTTAATTATCCAAAGCCTTTCTACATAATCAAGACAAAGAAATAATCAGAAATCAAAATTCTAATAAACTTGATATAATCTTTCAACTGTACTCAAGTTTAGTATTATTGGATTATAAGCTAATAATTGGAGCTTCAAATATTCCAAAATTGGAGCCTAGACAGCAGAAAACAGTATTTAAGCTCTAAACGCTTTTAAACTCCAACGTATAGATACTATTTATAAAAACATATAAATACTGAAAATGGAGAAGAAAAAGAACAATCTGAAAAATTCTGTTTCAAGTATTTAAATTTCTAAGATGAAAATAAATCTCAGTATTAAAATTATTTCTAGAAAATCTGAAATATAATCCTTTATCACCTGGAAATTATCTTCCCAGGTTTTAAATCTCAATTTTATGGAAAATGAGACTTTACAACAAGATATTTTAAATATATATATTTAAATGAGGAAATGAATGCTTTGTTTTATTAGTGAAAGATGCATAGAATTATAATGATAGTATTGAACGTATTTATTTACGTGGTAATACATATAGTGGGGAGAGTGAAAAATAGAATATAAACATTTCCATTTTGTTTGATGCTATTAGATTAATTTTTAGATTTATATAATATTAATTCTGGGTAAAGCAATCCCTAGAGAACTATTTGGTTTTAAGTCAATTTGATCAATGATTTTAGCAACTGATAGTTTAGTAATGCATTACAGTACATTTACAGCCCTTTTCCTTTGCATATGTTATACAGAGATGTGAATTACACAGTTTTCAATTTAGATAGAGTAAAAACATTATTTGGCTACCAAATCTATATGTATGTATATGTATCATGAGCTCTGGTGGTGTAGTGCCTAAGGCATTTGACCACTAACCAGAAGGGTGGAGGTTCATACCCACCAGCCACTTCTCAGAAGTAAGGTGGGACAATCTACTTCTGAAGTGATACTGTCTTAGAAACCCAAGGAGGGGTCACTATGATTCGCATCCAACTCGATGGCAGTGAGATATATATATATATGTATGTATGTATCAGTGCTAAAAGTTATTTTCTATTAAAGGGACTCACACTCATACATTTTCCTTTTAAGATACATATATCTCCTGCCCCCATGTAAAATCTCTTTCTAACCATAGTCAGAAAGGCTGAAGATCATTAATATTTAAACCTCCCAAATCCAATCCTCCTAAATTACCTTCTGAAAGACAGTCTTACATAAACCCCCAATAACTCACTGCCCCAATAGATTAGTAAAATTTTTAACCTATTTTCCTCTATTCAGTATTTCACTTATGTTTAAAGCTTATCATATTTCACTTTTATGCTGACATCTTTTCTTAACAAGAAAATTTATACCCAGAGAAAGCCATTCATAATTAATAAGAATAGTCATTTGTTTAATGAACTAATGATTTTAATCACAAATATAGCTTATATTGCTTCTCATCAGAGTATCACTTTGCTTTTTAAAAAT